ACGAAACACAGCAGCGTTAAACTGCTATTTTACGCTGGTATTCTGTGAGAGCGTGGTCCTTCCCCGGTCGAGCCGACCCATTCGTGCTACAACTATAATATAGCTGCAGTATGGCTCTACCACGTATAAAATTCTCGTTGTGAAGCAGTTTCAGCTTCTCGGGATAACACATGTTGTTCTCGGTCAATGGTAAGCCTTAGCTCTCGTTGAGAAGAACTTTGAGACGCCCGTGATGTAGCTCGTCTCGCTCTGTCAGCTGCTAATCGCATCTCTCTTTCTGGAGAGCTTTCATTGGCTCGAGAAGTTGAGGCACTAACTCTCATAGAGTTTAACCGATGTGCTCTTTCCGCTGCCGATTCTTGAGAACGCACATTTCTCATTCTCTTAGCTTCTCTCGAATTTCGAGATAAAGATAATCGTTTTTAGGTGGCATTGTGTATTTTATTTTTAATCGATAGCATTCAGTTACCTAACAAAATAATCTACGTTAGAGGTCTTAACTATAGCTACCATACACTTAAAAAAATCTAAATGCCTACTTAAATAATAAAACGGATCCTAAAATATATAAGTAGGTACCTAAACTACGTCTAATAGAACGAAATAGCCCATTTGATACCTAGGTACCTATTTAAAACTACAGCTAAATAAAAAAAAGTTTAATTTATAATTAAGCTAATACTAAGAAATATTTAAACACTACCAAAATAACTAATACCTATTTTATAAAATAACAACCAAAGAAATCTAAAAATAAATTATTAAACGTAAGAGTAGACTAAAAGTCGCGCTGATAAGCACGGTTTGTTAAAATCAATTATTGTCTGTCAATAAGGTCGAACACTCTGAACGTCTATTCGCATCAAAAGCCAAATATTGTATAAAGCTCGCACTTTTTTTTTGCGCCCGAAGGAATTGGAAAAGGACTACCCTCTATGTAGGGAGGCGGAAATGCATTACGAATACCACGACAGCCGGTCTATCGTGGTTATGAGGGACTCACTGCCTACCGGGGGAACCTAAGTGATACCCTCTAAAACCGCCTTTGGGGACTGGCAACCAGCTGTTTAAAGCTTCTTATGCCGTATCGGAAGCGACCCTCTTTTGGGAAAAGAGGGCGCAGGCGGCTATTAGCCGCTGAGGGAGTGCCTACGAAGGCAAATTAATTATGAATAACTTAATTAGAGTTGGCCTGAGCCGCCAGGAGGCAGTTCAGGTCGTTTGAAAGTTTATTAGGCGGGTCCGAGAGGGAGTTCCTCGGCCTGCGGACGCTATAGCGGGAGGGGAGTGGGGCTGCATAATTAGCTGCCTCACGAATAAAATGATTGGAATGCGACTCTGAGGCTTTGAAGAAGTTCTCAGAGAGTTTTTTAAGGAATTGTTGTATTGTAGGGAGCTCTGAGTCCCGATGAAGGTCGGCATTACGGATGTACCAAGGTGCGTTCGTAGCTCGACGACAGAAGAGGTTTTGAACTACTTGGAGTTCATTAATAATTTTAGGGTCAGCGTGGGCAAAAATGGGGCCCGCGTAGGACATGATTGGTCGTATACAGACCTTATAAAGGGTACGCTTGTTTCTGAGGGACATTTTACTGTGTCGGCCCAACATACTGTTGAGCCTACCCAGGTAAAAACGTGCGTGACGGGTTACTCTTTTGACGTGGGACCTGAAAGTGAGCCTAGTGTCAAGGGTGACACCTAAATATTTGACAGTCGTATGCCAGGGGACAGGGGTCCCTAGCGTACGTATTGGTGGAGTGTTTTTGAGTCGGCGTCGTTTATAATCGAAGTGAACGGCGGAGCTCTTCTCCGGGTTCACATCGATGCGCCATTTTTTGAACCAAGCTCCTAGGTCATCAACTGACTTTTGGATCTTGTTCCGTATGAAAGGTAGCGAGGTACCTTTACAGTATAGGGCAGTGTCATCTGCGAAGAGGGAGAGCTGAACACCTTTCGACGGGATGGGAATGTCGTTGGTGAAGAAAATGCACAAGAGAGGAGCAAGTACTGAGCCCTGAGGGACACCAGCTTTGATGGGGCGCTGAGAAGATAGCGTGCCTTCGTGTCTGAAACGAAAGGTACGATGCTTTAGATAAGAGGCCACGAGACGTACTAGACGATCGGGGAGACCTATTTTGTATAATTTGTAGATAAGGCCTTCATGCCAGACTCTATCAAAGGCTATGTCAAAAAAGACCGCGATGGTCTTATGACGACGAGGATAAAAACCGCTGAGGATATATTCCACAATACGGTGAACTTGTTGGGGACAAGTGTTTCGCTCGGAAACCGAATTGATGGGGGATGATGTGAGGGTCACCGTCTGTGGGAAACAGATGGCGCCTTATGCGAGTTTGGATGACTCTTTCGAAGAGCTTGCCCATGGCCTTGAGGAGGCTAATGGGGCGATGACTGGAGGGGAGGTTGAGAGGCTTGCCTGGCTTGGGAATACGAATCACAGTTGCCTCTTTCCACGTAGTGGGAAAGTAACTAAGGTTGAAGCAGGCATTGAAGATAATAGATAAAAGCACTCAGCCTTTTCCTCGTCCTCGAAGGCTACCATACCGTCGAGACGGGAGAGAGGGGGAGTGTGGGTGATAGCGTCTATGCGGAGGGCTCTTGCCATCTGATAGTACGCTGTATGAGAGGGAGAGATATTCTCCATGAGCTTACTCTTTTCGAGGTCTCGAAATTCAGAGAGGCGGAAACGGAGTTCTCGTTGAAGACGATGGGCCGTGCGCCTATATTCGGGCGTGGGATATTTTGCTGCTCTCCGGAAAGCAGCTGTTTTGGCTTTTAATAGGTTGCTAATATGCAGGGGAAGCCCACTATTATTAGCAACCGGGACGACCCTTTCATTCTCCTTAAGGGAGGTTTTAATAAGGGTGGAGAGTGAATCGACCGCGGTGTCGATTTTTTCGGGACTTTTTTTTTTTTTTTTTTTTATAGGATTGGGTGACAAACGAGCACACAGTCCACCTGATGGTAAGTGGTTACTGTGACCCATAGACATCTACATCTATCCTCAATAAAGACTCAAGATGCAGATGCGTTGTCACCCGTGAGGACTAAGATGGAATGCCTCTTTGCCAGTAAAAAGGGTCTCCGGTTCTCTACACTCACCATACGAAACACAGCAGCGTTAAGCTGCTATTTTACGCTGGTCTTCTGTGAGAGCGTGGTCCTTCCCCGGTCGAGCCGACCCATTCGTGCTACAACCATAATATAGCTGCAGCATGGCTCTACCACGTAGTTGTAGACTGTCTAAGTCCGACGATAGGGAGATTGGGGAGTCCTATGAGTCCAGAGCGTTCGCTAGGGACTCCTTGAAGCAAGCACGCACTCCGAACCCCCGCCTTTTTATACCTCCCGCCGCGAGCCGCGTCGACCGTTACTCAAAAATAATCCTTATAGCATGATTCAGTATTCACCCGCGATGGCTTATTAGCGTATTTCATGTATAACTTTGGTGTTTCTATACCGATTTCTATGATTCTTTTTTTACTGAATAGATAATAATGTCAACTTTTTTTTAATTAGGGATGAGTGAGAGTGTTATAAACGTAAGAGTAGACAAATATAATCAGAAAGCTCCGAACTGCTAAGCTATCGGGAGTTACACCTGTTATTGTGAGTCAACCATAAAAGATAGACATATGCTGTCGTGGGATATTTTTTTATAATTTTAAGGAGAACATTTCTGTTATACATGATTTCTGTGTAGCTTTAACCATTAAGGCTGCACACGCGACGGAAGCTTAAAAAATGGAGTAATTTCTCCCGTTTCCCCAACATTTACCTTCACTGCTCTGCTCCTATTGATCGTAGCGTGATGATATACTATAACCTGCCCAGGAGTATGAAGAATGATTGTACCAAGTTTCGTTAAAATCCGTCGAGTAGTTTTTGTTTCTATAACGAACATACAGACAGACAGACAAAAAATTTATTGTTTGCATTTTTGGCATCAGTATCGATCACTAATCACCCCCTGATAGTTATTTTGGAAATATATTTCATGTACAGAATTGACCTCTATACAGATTTATTATAAGTATAGATAAAAAGAATTTTTTTACATCTTAGGTTTAAAATTAAATAAAATGCATTTTATAAAATTTTATCATGTTTAATATACATTATTTATATATCATAATATACATGGAATTAAAAAAGTACTCATTATTATTTCTGTTTATAGAAAAAAGTTTTCAAACACACATTATTGTGCCACAATACAATTTACATACAAATACCACAAGTTTTTACAAATAATCTACAGTAAATATAAGGTAAAAAATATATTATAGTTTTAAATGCTTTTAGATATTCGTATGAAACTGAGGATTTAACACTATAAAAAAAATTTATAAAAACAAACAGATTTATAACAACTCTGAAGTTAACTTCAAAAGATTTAAAATTACAAAAGTATAAAATTATGTATGTTTTGAAATAAAAGAGGGACAAGCAGAGTGATAATGAAAAAATTAGAGTATATATATAAAAATTCGTTAGAGTATATAGGGAAAAACTTTAAAATGGAATATATAATTTCTAATAATGCAAATGCAACAGACACAAGTAGGTACTTAAGTACTTTTTCACAAAATTGATTGAAAAAATGATATGATTGCAAACATTTAAATTTGAACTTTTTATGAAGTTCCAGTGACAAGAATTATTAAATGCAATCTATACTCTGTTTACACCTTAATATACATTACATGCTAAACTTGTTAAGAGCTGCGTTGTTTTTCATTGTGTGAGTTTTCCATTAATTCCATAGCAGAATATAGGAAACCATAAGATTTGATGTTAAACGCAATCCTCAACTTATTCCACAGTGCCCATGAATAATATGAAATTATCGACTAGATCTAGATTACAAAAGTTTTGAAGTGAATTTACACTTTTGAAATGTAGTATTTTAAAAGTAATTAATATAGTTGTACTGTTAAAATGCACTTGCAATATTCTGTGTGGGTAAAATGAAAAGTCTAGTCATTTTTCTCATTGGCAATTTTGTTTTTAATATTTTCAATTCTATGTAACAAAGTAGGATGTGAATGGTACCATGCTGAATACAGTTTATCATAAATAGGATAGTCTAGATTGTCTTTACCTAGCTTAATTAATGCAGATCTCAGTTCATTTGGATAGTTTAAAGAAACTGCAAAATTATCAGCTTCAAACTCAAATTTTCTTGAAAGTGCCGTAGCAAAGAATGATAATAAAGAATTATATGGAGCAAGAATCATCTGTAAGACTACTATTAGACCTATGATCACAGGCTCTTGCCCTGCGGGGAAACCAAGAGCTGTATATAACATTGAGTATTTGAAAAGTAAGCCAAATGCTGTAAATAATAATAATAAATTGACTTCCGTGAGAGCAATTGACTTGTAAATATGACTACAACTCCAATGTCCAAGTTCATGAGCTAAAATGCCTAATATTTCATTATCTGTACATCCTGTTGTTACTTTTTTCTGTTCATCATGCTTTTCTACCAGAGTATCAAATAAAACTATCCTTTTTGCACCAAAAAGTCCACTAAAGTATGCATTGCTATGTGCTGACCTCTTTGAACCTTCTACAATATATACTTGAGAAAGTGGGAAGTGGAGTTTTGAAGCCAAATCCTCAATACCTTTTCTGAGTGGACCATCAGGTAAAGTAACAAATTTATCAAATAATGGTGCAATAACTGTTGGGTAAAGTGTTAAAAGTATTAATGTAGCCACTGTTGTAAATAACCATAGCCAAACAACAAACATATTTCCACCCAACATAATGATATAAATTGACACGGAAATTATTGGCAAAACAATTACAAGACTTAGCACTAGTGACTTCAATTGATCTTTTATAAAAAAGCCAACGGTTTGTTTATTGAATCCATGATTTTGCTCCAACACAAATGTTCCATAAATTGTGAAAGGCATATTAACAATAAAATTAAATAAAGTTACATAAGACATAAATATGCAACTAATTAATATTTCTTGATCAGGTGATATATTGAAAAATTCTGCAAAATGTTCCGATTTGTGCCAAGCCACATATATCCATCGATTATACAATATAATGGATATTAGTGCTATGCTGTAAAAGTCCTTCACTATTTTGAACTTGGATTTATCTATTCCATAAAGACGAGCCTTTTTGAAGGATTCTTCTGTGAGCATTTCATTTAAATCATCAGGTATAGTATTATTTGTTTTGTAGATGTTCAACTGAAATGAATATCAATAATGCTATATAATTACCTAAGCACACAGTTTCACATGGATTTTACATTTTAATAAAAATAATCAAGAATTGTATTAATCTAATGTTTAAAATATTTTTACCTTATTTTTTGTCATTGATTATGAATGTGAATAAATATAAAAATTACCAATATATGCAAATACTTATGATTTACGGCAGGACTTACACAATTTCAATACAGCTTGTATTGAGGAATCGATCAAGTGAAACCAAGGCTCCAAAGTCTTTACCAGAGATCTGTCTGCCAGGAAGAGCCAACTGTCAAAGTTAAAGACCAAATGTGACAGCATCGTTTCCGGGACACCTGTACATATCATCGTTGGAGCCACACGTTAAGTGTGAGTAACAATCCAAGAGCAAGTCTTATTCAACACTATTCCGATGATATCCCAAACGTCAGTCTGAGCAAGATTAGAACGGCTAAAAGCGGCAAGGCCCCAGGCGAGGATGGTATTACAGCAGAGCTTCTGAAAGCAGGTGGAAAACTGGTACTTGAAGCCTTTCAGAAGCTCTTTAATTCCGTCCTCCATGGTGGGGATACTCCGGAGGCGTGGAGCAGAAGTGTGGTGGTCTTGTTATTCAGGAAAGGTGAAAACGCTATCTTGAAGAACTACAGACTGATTTCCCTTCTGAGCCGTTACCATTACGAATCTTATCGCACGCAGACTTGACAACTTCCAGCCTCCCGAACAAGCGGTTTCCGAAAGGGCTTTAGTACCATAGACCACATACATATCCTTCGGCAAATTGTATAGAAGCCCGAAGAGTACAATCTTCCACATTGCATTGCGTATGTGGACTATGAGAACACCTTTAATTCCGTCGAAATTTGGGTGGTGCTACAGCCCCTTCAGCGGTGCCAAGTTGACTGTCGGTATATTGAAGTGCTGAAGTGCTTGTACAGTAGGGCTACAATGGCTATCCCAGTACAGAATCAGAGTACGAAACCTATCCAACTGCAGAGAGGTGTAAGACAGGGTGCCGTTGTATCCCCAAAACTTTACCACTGCATTGGAAGACGTTTTCAAGCTACTGGACTGGAAAGTATACAGTATCAATATCAATGGTGGGTACATCACTCACCTTCAATTTGCTGACGATATAGTCATATTGGCAGAATTGCTGGAAGACCTAAGCACTATGCTCATTGACCTCAATGGTGTCCCCCAACTGATAGGTCTTAAGATGAAGATGGACAAAACAAAGATCATGTTTAATGTCCATGTCACACCTATGTCGGTAGTTGTTGGGAGCACTAAGCTCAAAGTTGTTGATGAGTATGTTTACCTGGGACAAATAGTCCGACTAGGTATGTCTAACTATGACAAAGAGGTCAATAGATGGATTCAACTCGGCTGGGCAGCGTTTGGAAAATTATGACACATCTTCTCGTCAAGTATACCTCAAAACCTGAAAACAAGATTGTACAACCAGTGCATGTTGCCAGTGATAAATTATGGATCTGAGACATGGTCCTTCACTGCTGGCCATATGAGGACACTCAAGGTCGCTCAGCGAGCTATGGAGAGGGCTATGCTCGGTGTTTTTTTGCATGATAAACTTAGAAATGAGGATATCCGCAGTAGAACTAGAGTGACCGACATAGCTCAATGGAGTGGTAAGCTGAAGTGGCAATGGGCCAGCATGTAGCTCAAAGAACCGACAACCGTTGAAGAGAAAAGGGTCTCGAGTGGCAGCCGCGTACCGGTAGGCGAAGTAAAGCGCGTCCCCCCACTAGATGGAGTGACGGCCTAGTAAGACTTGCAGGAAGTCGATGGATGCAGGTGGCTGACCGTGCTTTGTGGCATTCCTTGGGGAAGACCCATGTTCAGCAGTGAACTTGTGAAGGGCTGTAATAGGAATGATGATGAAATAATTTCATAAGGAATTCATAAGGGCCATGAGTTTAGCATAAAAAACAATTACCTGCCGTAAGGAAAGATACAATTCCCATATGTATTCAGTCCATGAGAATAATAATATCAGCCAAACAATCAAATCTTCATTTAGAAGCATTTCGTTAGTTATATACAGCCAATGAAACTAATTTATACTAAATAGCAATAATAAGAATTGCAAAGGTAAATTACAAGATGCCACCCAATTCAATGACAACTAGCACAGAGCATAGATAAATATATATGTAGCAAGCTAGCACAGAGACAGAGTAGAGATGGGTAACTCAGGAGAGATAGATACAAAAGATATGAATCAATCCGTTTCCATCAATCACTCTTTATATCCATTCGCATCCGAATGTATCACTGTATCAGTGTATCTTTACAAATTATTCACTCAAGGCATCTTTTAACTTTTTCTAACATCTGTGTCGCACATTAAGCACACTGCTTTCTATTATACCTCGCCTGGCACGGCCGGTCATTCCAGGAAGATTTCGGAAAGTCCATAGTACAGACGTTTCTTTCGCAACTCACTATTTAGAATGTTCTGTCGCGCTTTAGCAAGACGGAGAGAGTGAGTTGTTTGACCATTATAAACTGTAATACGTTGGCACAAAAAGGTAAATTGATAACCCTATGACTGGTGCATAGGGCTTAAAGTCATTAAGCGGTACGTTAACATTTAAGTATTATACTCTTCGATCGACAATACCAACTAGATAACGGGTCACGTACAAAATCATAGCTAAATGCTGTCCGCGTGAATATATACTTATGCAGCTACATTTGTTTACTAAAGAACTGAGAGAAAAATTTTTTTTGGTTGGTATTGTTGATTGAAGATTATACTGGTTTGAACTGTACCTATGTGTACTTTGCCTATAAATTTTTTAGTAAACAATGCCAACTAATTTCAGTTATAAAACCATCGTTTTTAAGAAAGTTTTATAACCGAAATTAGTAGTCGTTTATATCCATAAAAAAGTAAAAAAAAAAAAAGATTTGTGATTTACAAAATTAAACAAAGATATCAGTTTGCTTCATTAGTTCAACCTTAACGTCAGTTTGGGAACGAGAGTAATATTGTTTCCGTTAATTGCATCGAGTAGAAAAATATTTGAAGTAGTTTTTTAGTACACTTAGTGACTGTTTAATTTAAATGTGGGTAAATAAGACATTCAGTGTAAATAGTTTAAAGTGTTTTTTGGTCTGTTCGTACAGTTAGTGACTGTTTCATTTATTTTAAGTGTAAATAACTTTGCGCAGTTAGTGTTTTATTAATAAAAAAAAATGGGTACACGAAAACGAAGCGCAGTGTGGAATCATTTTGGGGAAGTAGAACCAAAAAAAAGCAAAATTCCTTTATTGTGCGAACATGCTAAATGTACCCGCTGGAAATTGTGGTAACCTAGGTAGACATTTAAAAAGTAAACTAAACATCCCACAGTACGCCTCGTAGCTAAAAGACAGCCAACGCAGCAGGCATGATTTCAAAAAGCCGAAATTATATAATATATATTTTCTACAAATTAATACAAACAATACCTACTCTACCTACGTTATTTACGTTAATCATTAATTTAATTATTATTTTAAACTAAAAATTTAAGTTAATTTGTCGAATAAGTGCCTATTAATATTTATCAATCATAACAATAATAGCGCTCGCTGTAAGTTTCACAGTACGCGAGCAACCCGGGTTTGATCCCCGCCGGCACCAATGAAATTGTTAATTGCAATTTTACCACGTATATTTACCACGTGCTCTGGAATGAAGGAAAACATCATGAGGAAAAACCTGCATGTCTAAGAAATAAGAAAACTTAATTTTTTTATTCATAACAAATAGATACCTAGAAAGAAACAGCAGCCAAATATATCAGAAAGATACACAATGTTACGACCAAGCAAAATGCAAACAGCTCTATAGTTACTTATCTATCACTCTTACTGATAGGAGCCCCACTTGAGCGAAGCGAGCCACGCTGAGTGAGCAATGCAATGTAATGCGATGCGAGTCCTGAAAGCGAGCTTGATCTACTGATACATAAGGATATAAAGATATAAAAGAGTGATACATATCCAAGTGATCAAAAGATACATATCAATCTTTTCTTTTAAATGATACACATTGCCCATGTCTAGCACAGAGTACATTAACATAGGCTTGGGCAAAAAATATCGATATATCGAAATATCGATATTTTTTAATAAAAATATCGATATTTCGATATTTTTATTATGTAGTATAATATAGTATCAGTAGGCATGACACCGATATCGATATATCAATACGTAACTAATAACGTTATGTTATCAAATATCATATCATATCGATAAACCTAAAAACATAACCGTTATCACATATCCAACCAAAAGCCAAAATCAACTAACCAACGTACGAAACGTAAAACGCAAACTGTAACGATATGCCAAAAACCGAAAACGGCCCAAAACCAAAACTAACCGATGCCCTTTGATATTCGTTGTTTCTCGTTCTAGCGACAGTATCATAAATGCGTATGAAAGAGATGAAGCTTATATGAATTTCGTTGGGATGTTTTGGTTGTTATCATAAAACGGTGCACGTAGTGAAATATAATTATAAGTCTCTTAACAATAAGGTCGAATTTTAAATGGTTAAAATTGCCAATTTTTTTAAGTTTGTGTAGTTGTGAGAGTGTCAGATTTAAATGATCTTTAGGACGTTAGTCATTAGATTTGTTTGATCACATTATGTTTGGTTTAGGCAACTTTTGTTTATGTAAAAGTTTAGAATTTGATTTTTTTTCAAACGTAACAGTAATACGCACTTGACATTGGTGGCGTGTGCCGCTCACTATGAAACTATCTGTAAAATTATTAATTTTTGACGTTGTGATTGTGCATTTATTTGTAATATTTGTTTGCATTTTGTACATTTGTTTTAAAACTTTCCTGCTAGTCCTAAGCCTAGTTAAGTATATGAAGGTAAATCGCCAACTTAAATAATCATTATAAAAAATAATGATTATTAATATAATAATAATAAATAAACTATGTACATACCTATAATAATTTTCTATATATATAAACTATATATATATATATATATATATATATATATATATATATATATATATATATATATATATATATATATATATATATATATATATATAAATTATGTTTACTACTTATGAATACAGTTTAATTATAGACTTCGAAATCAAACTCTGATCCTACGTCTCACTTACGTCACACTAAAAAAATATGGGTATAAACATTATAGAAATAAATGAGAATAGAAAGAATGTAATTTTAGACATTTATAATAAGTACTATATTACTGCTTAACAATCATAAATTATATATTAATATACATGTCTAAATATTACATGTAAGATTATATTAGAGCCTCTGACTTCTAAACTAAAATAATCGAAGTAATTCGTAAAATAAATGTTGCACTCGTTCTACAGTTTTCGGCATAGATAATATACTATATAGGGCATAGATGAGCCACTCTGAAAAATAATTAAGTGACGAAACAAAGAAAGTTTCTTCTGCGCTTTTATAAATGGCGTAGGGATTATAAATTACTGAAAATTATACTAGAGGGCGCTATCATCTAGGTTCAGTATTATTTCGTACATATTTCAATAAAGTTAAAAGGATCAATTTAATTTAAATATTATCTAATTAGTTTTAAGTAACTATTCATTATGTTTGTTTGAGAAAACCATGGTGTGAATTGCTTCGTTAACTTACAAAGAATTATTATATATACCTAGTCAGGTCATAAGTATTGTCACACAGTAAAAACTTTTATTTTAGAATGCTGGCCACAAAAAAGTTTATTGAATTCGAATTTCGAATTGTTCATGAAAATAAAACTGTATACTTTTTAGAATTTTACTCATTTTTAAATATGGAGTGGACGCTTAAAGAAACCGTGTTGCAGTTATTGCATTGCATCGTTGCGGTTATGCGCCAATTCAAATTTTTGACATACTGAAAAATTTGAATATAACCAAAAGATTCGTTTATCGTACCATCAAACGATACAATGAAGACTCTAGTGTAGATGACAGGTCAAGAAATGGTTGCCCTCGGTCTATTAGGACTCCAGCAGTGATACATTTTCGATTTTCAAACTTACATTTTCAGTTAGATTAGGTGACGTATATCGATGTACGAGAGAGCTTCTTTTTAACTGGAACATTAAATTTATCATTCAATTATACTTATCCATTCCTTAGAGTAATGTCATGATGATGATGACAGAGATGTCAAATCGGCGCATTCATAGTTTATTACTGACTTGACATTGGCAGAATTCTAAAAAGAGGGGCCATAAAACTAAGAAAGAAGAAGAAGAAGAACTTCAGTAGGTAATGTTAATTATTTTGGTGAAAGTAGCTTTAATATGATGCCGAAGACGGAACACAGTCCTGTAAATGCCAAATCATTCTCGCCTTTAAGATACCAATGTTGTAGATAAGTATATTATAATATACATTTCGGGGAGAAACTTAAAACATACTCGAAAAAAGCTTAAAACATGCTCATAACATACTCCTTGTATGTTAGGGGTGACTGAATGACAGAATGAGAAATTGTGAGATAAGAGAAGTGTGGTTTGCGAGAAGATTACGTGACCAGGATTAAGAAAGGAATGCTTAGATGATTTGGTTAAGTAGTAATAATGAAAGAGGAAAGAGTGATAAAACAAAATGCCGCAGAATTGACAGGGAGAGTGAGATCCAAATTAAGATTTGGTACCCTAAACCGACGAAAATGTATACGTAGATATATGGATGAGATGAAACGATAGAGGCGTATTGGGATCGTGCCAAATGAAAAACAGCCAGGGGCGTAGCTACCGCTGTATCAGCCGTATCAATGATACGGGGCCCCCGGGCTACAGGGGCCCCGAACGTGTGTAAGTAAAAATTCCAAGGACTTCTCTGGGACATGAAAGGCTATCACTATTGTCTATAGAAGCAAAAAATTTAGTAAAACTGAAATCGTCTTCTGCTATGAATGCCGCCGAATAGTCTTCAGCTATGTTCGCCGAACAAAAGGCAAGAAAAGTGTATATTTGATTTGAATTGTTTGGCTAGCTTACTTCCTAGAAGTATTTTTTTTAAAGGAGAGGGGGCAAACGAGCATGCATCAGGTGAGCCTGATGGTAAGTGACTACCGCCGCCCATGAACAACCGCAATACCAAGGAAATTGCATATGCATTGCCGGCCTTTTAAAAAGGAGTAGGCTCTTTTCTTGAAGGCTAGGGACGTATCGGTCCGGAAATATCGCTGGTGGTAATCGATTCCACAAGGAAATTGTGCGAGGAAGAAAACATCTTCTAAATCGCACAGTAGTGGACCGCCAATCATCCAGGTAGTATGGATGGTATCGCGAGTTTTGTCGCAATGTGCGATAGTGAAATTGAACGGCTGGAATTAGTCCGAACAATTCCTCGGAGCACTCCACGTAGTAAATGCGATAAAATACGCAAAGAGATGCAACATCTTCTACGCACTGTCAGTGTATCGAGCTGATCAGAAAGAACGCGGTCGGCGACGATTCGAACCGCTCTGCGTTGGATGCGTTCAAATGGAAGGAGTTGGCATTGGGGTGCTCCGGCCCAGAGATGAGAACAGTATTCCATGTGGGGCCGGATTTGCACTTTGTAAAGTTGCAAGCGATGTGCCGGCATGAAATACTGTCTCGCTCTGCTGAGCACGCAAAGCTTTTTAGAGGACAATTTGGTCTTCCCTTCCAAGTGACCACGAAACTGTAAACTATTCGAATTGTCGACGCCGAGGATTCCGATGCTAGCTGAGGCAGCAAGGGGAGTGCCTTGAAACTGAGGAGATACGACAAAGGGGTTCCTTTTAGCGGTAAACGCGCAAACTTGTGTCTTCTGGGGATTGAACTGGACTAGATTTAGTCGACCCCAATCCGAGACTTTGTTCAGCAAAGACTCGACTTCAGACACAAGTTTGTCCCGGTAGTCGGCGACGTTTTCCCGAGAAATATTGGCACGGCCGGTATATAAGGCATCACCAGTGCTGTCATCTGCATAGCAATGAATGTTACTAGTTTGCTACATATCATTGATATGCAGGAGAAATAGCGTTCGTGATAGCACGCAGCCTTGTTGGACACTAGCGTTGATAGGCTTGAAATCAGAGCATGTATCGTCTACTACGGCCTTCATTCTCCGATCAGCAAGGAAACTGGTGATTCATTTGCACAATTTCTCGGGAAGCCCATGGGAAGGAAGCTTCGAAAGAAGCGCTTTGTGCCAGACCCGATCGAAGGCCTTCGCCATGTCCAAACTAATGGCCAATGCCTCCCCATTGGACTCTACTGCCTCCGCCCATCTATGAGTTAGGTAGACCAGAAGATCACCAGCAGATCGACCCTGACGAAAACTGTATTGGCGGTCACTAATCAGCTGGTGATCCTCAAGGTACCTCATGAGCTGGCAGTTTATAATGGATTCCATTATTTTGGAGTACAAGGAGGTTATGGCCATAGGCCTGTAGTTGGACGGGTCTGAGCAGTCGCGTTTTTTAGGGATCGGGTGGACCAAAGCTGTCTTCCATGAATTCGGGACTACGCCTTGGGAGTAGGAGTACCGGAAAAGACGCTTTAAAACCGGTGCCAACTCCGGAGCGCACGTCTTCAGCACAATGGAAAGGACTCCATCAGGCCCACTCCACTTGCTGACGTCCAGGCAGAAGAGTGCTTTAGGAACCAAGCGCTGTGTAAATCGCACATCCGGCATGGAGCACTCACATGGCGGGATGGTCGGCGGTGTGTTCCCCCCATCATCTAGAGTCGAGTTGGACGCACAGAGAGAGCTTAAAAGATCGGCTTTCTCCTTTGCGGCATGGGCCAGTGAGTCGTCCTCTCTGTGCAGAGATGGAAGAGATGGCTGACAGAAGTTCCCTTGGATAGCCTTGGCGAGAGACCAGAATGCACGCCAATTCTGCCGATGTGCTCAGACCTTGCCTTGGCAATAACGCTTTTGAAGGACCTGGAGGTGACTTATTTTTAAGTGCGCTGGTGTTTACATCCCGAGACGTTGATGCGACAGCCCAGGCCCGGTAGCACTCCCGCTTATAGCGTGATGCTATTTTACAGGAGCGACCAAACCATGGCTGGGATCTGCCTCCGATGTGTACCACAGAGGATGGAATAAAAAGTTCCATACCCTGAAGTACCACATCAGCAACAGAAACGGTAACACCACTGAGATCTTCCGGCGAGAAGCAAACCCGCGCCCAAGGGTAGGATGTAAAAAAAGAACGCATCCCGTCCCAATCGGCTGACCTATAGTGCCAAACACGGCGGCAAGCTGCAGATCGCAACTGCGATGGGAGCGTGAGTGGCACCGTACTCCGGATCAGACAATGGTCCGAAGAGCTCAGAGGGGCATTGACGGCGACCTGATATTCGTCCGGATGAGAGGTCAGTAGAAGGTCCAACAGGAAAGGTACATGATCCTCCACATCTGGGATCCGCGTAGGCGAAGTAACTAGTTGTGTTAAACCATATGATAAAGGAAAAGTCATAGACAGATCTACCCGCATGATCGGTTAAACGAGAACCAAGCCATTCAGCGTGTTGGGCGTTAAAATCACCGAGTATCACGATCTCTGCGGATGGGACCTATTGTAGCACGGAGTCTGCAGCCATTTGGACGTGGTCGATGAGTCAGTCTGTGTCGGCATTACCGCTATGGGACCTATAGATGCACCCGTAGAAGCGAGGATGGTCGTCGCTGTCTACGCGCAGCCATAGAATGGACAGGTCCGTATCTTCAAGACTGTCGAAGCGTCGAAAACAGATGTCCTCTCAGACGTATACGCAAACCCCAGCCCGAGGCACAAAAGAGTGTTCTAATTTGTACCCCGGATAGGAGAGATATGAAGTATCAGCCGGAGAGGACACCTGAGTCTCGGTTAAAAAGAGCACCTGAGTCTCGGTTAAATTGAGCCTCCGGCCACCTGCACTCACCAAACACAACGCAGAGGTAAACCTCTACTTCACGCTAGTATTTTGTGAGGTCGTGGTACCACCCCGGTTCGAGCCGGCCCATCCGTGCAAGCAAGCAAAAGCTGCCGAGTGGCTCTACCACTGTTAATTGTAAGTAATAACTTATAATCAATATATAATTATTTTAATACAATGCTTTGTTCCTGTTATGGAATCTTTGCTCTTCATTGGGGCCCCAAAACAAATTTTGATATAGGGTCCATCTAAGGCACGCTACGCCACTGAAAGCAGCAGTCGCTGCCTACCCTTCTGCGTTACCAGAGTGAGAGTTTATGTTATGTTAATGTAATATACTTATGTAGTTTTATTTTGTCGTAAGCAATTAAAGTACCTATTACAGAACGTACAAGATTCTTCACTTAAAGTCGCGCTCACCCGCTGACATTCCTCTTGGGAGAATTCTGTACCTATATTACTCTTTTCAACGTACATAGTCACAATTTTGTATAAAAGCCTCATCCATTGCTTGTTAGAGCACAGTTATTACCGATAATTCAGTCAATATACTTATAACTAGATAATTTATAAAAATGGTTTTGTTAACTCATAATAAATGGTTTATTTGTATAGTGCATGTATTACTCTACGTTATACTTAGCGTAAAAGCTGATGAAAATTGCGAATCATTCCCCATAGAAATACACGTAACCAAAGGTAAAATTCAAATTTACCCGTTAGTTTTAGATGTAGACCAAAGTCTTGTTTTATACTTAATATGAGGCCATAGTATTGTTTTAAGTACAGACTTTGTGTGTATCAGTTGTATTCTAAAACGTGTACTTACTTAATTTCATGCAAATAAAATTGTAATATTATGAATTTACTTCGTATGACGTCAATAAGAATTTAAGTAATCATTTAACATCCTATTTTGTTTACATTCAAGCCGATCAAAGAAAATGCATTTTCTGATCATTAGTACTTTAACGAATTTTTATTTTTATTTCAGAGGAATATGATGAGATGGGTAGTCTTGTAAGGTCATGCAGTGGTGAAGTTACAGTCAATAAATGTGAAGGAATATGCAGTAGCCAAATTCAGCCATCTGTTGTAACTGCCACGGGGTTTCTAAAGGTACAATTTAATTTAAAATTGTTGCACCTAAAATTCAGATATTAACCTTTTTTCTTTTTTTTTCTTTATAGGAATGCTTTTGCTGTAAAGAAAATTATCTACGCGAACGTACGGTAACGTTAACCCATTGCTATTATCCGGATGGCTTAAGAATAGAGGAAGAAGATCGTGCTACTATGGAAGTACATTTGCGAGAACCAGATGAATGCAAATGTCGCAAATGCGGTGATTTTAGTCGATAAGAATGTAAAATAATTATAATGTTTCCAATAAATATGTTTACTATTACAGTAATAAATGAAAACGAAACAAAACAAATGATGCTTTAATAAAGGAAAGAGTAACTTAAAGAAATAATTTGTAATTATTACCTATTATACATACTTATAATGAAATGCTTTTGAAAATTGGTCAAGGTCTTATAAATTTTGTTTTAGGATTACTGGTTTAAGATAATAAAATAACGATATTTGAAATTATTTTGTTTAATTATTTTAAATGAAAATAATTGAATTGAAATAAAAGAAAGAAGTTTGAAATGAACTAAAACCTTTTTCATTTTTAATCTCGTTCATTTATTTTATACGAGGGTGACACTGAAAGTTTTTAGAAAATCAAAAACTGAAAAAACTAGAAAGTTATTAGTTTTATTATATATTTTCAAAATAGTGTCCATTTACATGAATACATCCCTGCATCCGATGGAAACACTGTGAAAAGCACTCTGACAACTCGTCCTTAGGGGTCTCTTCGACGGCATTTTGAAATGCAGCCACTGTTTCCTCGGCGTCCATAAAACGTTTTTCTCGAAGTTTTTCTTTTATTTTCGGAAATAAATAAAAATCGCAAGGTGCGAGGTCAGGGCTATAGGGTTGGTGACCCAGTGATTCCACGTCTGACGTCGCCAAATAGTCGATTGTTTGCTTGGCGGTGTGCGACGAGGTGTTGCCGTGGTGAAGGAGGATCCTACTGCGAGGTCGTTTCTTCCGAACTTTTTCCAAGACAAGTGGCAAACAATTGTTAGTGTAACTCTTTTTCGATCCTCTAAAACAATTGTTGCGTAATGACCTGTCCTTCCGAAGAAACAGGCCGCCATATTTTTTACCACGCTTCGACCCCTCTTCACTTTAGTTGGCAACTCCTGGAAAGGAAACACCCAGACACCAAACTGCGTCTTAGTTTCAGGATCATAACTATAAATCCAGCTTTCGTCACACGTAAATATGTCGAACACAGCATTTGAGTCACCTCCGTTAAATCTTTGAACCATTTCACGACACCAATCAACACGACGGAGTTTTTGGGCCTCTGTCAAATTATGAGGTATCCACCGGACACAAAGCTTTGTGACCGCTAAATGTTCATGGAGGATTTTGTGCACTTGACTCATACCGATGCCTAAGTTTGTCCGAATCTGCTGATGTGCCACTATTTTGTCAGTCTCTATCATACGCCGCACAACACTGATGTTACCTTCGTAGAAGGCTGTCCCTCACGCAGATCATCGGTGCGATTAGTGCGACCACGTTTAAACTCATTAAACCAGTTATACACAGTGGCACGAGATGGGGCTTCATCGTGAAACGCCAATCGAAGTCTATCATAACTTTCTTGTTGACTTAAATGACATCGAATGTCATAAAAAATCATTGTACGAAAATTTTCTCGCGTTAAATTCATGCAGACTTGACACAGACAATTTTCAATTTGCCGCCAAATCGTAAACAAATGACAAATTAATAAAATACATACACAACAATATTGGCAAAGAGTTCCATTTTCAAAATTTGAACTTATTTTTTTACAAGTGACCAGTTCTAAAAACTTTCAGTGTCGTCCTCGTATAGTAGGTACCTATTTAATTATATTTCGTCTCGTGACTGATTCTTTGTTGCTGAGTTTACTGTGTGTTATTGCTATAGTAAATATTATTATATCAAAACAGTACCGTGACAGGTGTCCGATGACAATACTGCTGCTGAGTGTTATTATATCTAATTCTCCGCACTATGGCCGAAACCGATATCATTGCGTTCGGTGGAGAGCTTACGGTATAATATAGTTTAAAAACACGGTAGGACTATAAAGAATTCAACGATAAATAAGGTTCAATATGATGTTGACAGTAGCTTTCATCTGATGGTAAGTGGATATAGACATTTGTGTCTACATCCACTTACCTACACATCCCGATTTAAAATCAATATGTTTGAATACGTTCTCATCCCCGAGGAATATGATAAACAACTAGTAATATGATAATCAAAGATAACCGAAAGGCCATTATTCTGTCTTATTAGGTACAATCAGTAGTTTTTTGTTAGTCTCGTGTTTAAGCTATGGTTTGAGAATAGTCCCTTGACCGGGGCCAATGTCTTGAAAAGAATTTTTCCTGTCAAATACCATACCTTATATTTTAAGTCGTATCCTTGGTTGTATCTTACAGTAATAACAAACTAGCATACATTATGTATGCAGTCTGCATCTTACATAGAGTAATAACATACCATAGTTCGTAATTTTTATTTTATTGAAAATTTTTTTGTGAAACAGTTTCTGGTATAAACCTGTGACTAAAAACTACTTTTTGTAATAAGGCCGTTTACCATTTAGGAAGCGCCGTTATAAAATACATGTCAAAATCAAAACTATATAGTTACTAATAAGCAGTTATCGATTTTTTAAATGATTCTGAAATACAAAGGTTACTTTTAGCAAAAACAACATCATTTAAATTCAATTAACATATATTTACTTAATAACACCTAGAAAATTTTAGTACCTATAAGCAACGTTACACCCGCGTTGCTCATGGGTCAGACTACCTGAATAGAAGCGCATAAACTAAAACTCCATCGTGTTCCAACTTCACCACATATCGTTAGGGCTTTTGGAATGCTTCCACACAGATCCAGCACAAGCAGCTATTTGCCTGCCATATCTCCTTTCTTTTAGCACGGCGCGGCTTTCTACATGGCCTCCATCTTTTGCACAACAAAAGCCCTTGTATCCGTAACGAGAATGAGCTATGGAGCTAGGAAAACGGGTACTCGGTTGCATAATCCTTTTTTAAAGCGCCCCCAAAGCAAGGGCGGATCTGTGATTCAAATCGGGGGTGAAGGGTGGCGGGATCGAGCCTTGTCACCACATTTTCGAGAGAGGTATATGTATATAGGCAATAAATAGCCTAAGACACAATTATACAAAAAAACTTTGTGTAATTTATTTGCCATCACCCCATGGTTGTCGTGAAGGACGACAGAGCGAAGCTAAGTCAGGAAATGGGCAGCATCATCTTGATAACGTAATAAAAATTTCGGTTGCCAATCCACCTGCCAAGGGTGGCAATTACGGCAAACATCTTCGCATGGGATCGAAACCCGATCCCCGGAGACTTGGCTTTGATGGTTGCCGAGGTAACTACGGGGCAGAGATACTAAAAATTTGTGGCGAAATCGCAATTCGGTTGCCACTTTCGGCGACCACATCACGCATCCTGAGTATCTATGAGAAGATTCTGAAGTTGGAAGAAGAGATAAGCAAGTCCGTTGGGATAATGTTATGGCATTATCTGAGGTTCGTAGTGGTTAGAGGCACACTGAACCTAAACGTTAAGTTGGAGGTCTCGTCTAATGAAGTCAACGCTCCGTCCCCCTCGTGCTCTGTTGCAAAGTCCCGAAACCTTTCAGCTCGAGTTACAAAACCGTTTTCAGTGCCTAGAAGAGTGCAATGAAGTGGACGATATGAATGACAAGCTCGTGGAAACTGTCCATAAGGTCGGAGTTAAGTTCTGCAAGACCCGCCGCAGAAGAACACAAAAACTCTCCGATCACACTCTCAATCTCATGGCTGTTAGACGGGAGATGAAGCTACATTCTCCAACAGATTTGGCAGCATACAGGCAACTGAACAGACAGATCTCCAAATGCATGCGGCGGGACTTACGCAACTTCAATACAGCTTGTATTGAAGAAGCGATCGAGCGGAACCAAGGCTCCAAAGTCTGCCAGAGATCTGTCTGCCAGAAAGAGCCAACTGTCAAAGCGGAAGACCGTATGTGGCAGCATCGTTTCCGGGGCCCCTGAGATTTTGAGTGAGATTGAGAGGTTCAATGGGCAGCTGTACACGTCCTCATTGGAGCCACACGCATGTGTGAGTAACGATCTAAGAGCGAGTCTTATCTGACACTATTCCGAAGATATCCCGGACGTCAGTCTGAGCGAGATTAGAATGGCTCTCCAGCATTTTAAAAACGGCATGGCCCCAGGCGAGGATAGAATTACAGCGGAGCATCTGAAAGCGGGTGGAAGACCGGTACTTGAAGTCCTTCAGAAGCTCTTTAATTCCGTCCTCCATGGTGGCATTACACCAGAGGCTTGAAGCAGAAGTGCAGTGGTCTTGTTCTTCAAGAAAGGTGACAACACTCTCTTGAAGAACTACAGACCGATTTCCCTTCTGAGGTGCATCTACGTGCTGTTTTCGAGAGTCATTACGAATTGTCTCGCGCGCAGACTTGACGACTTCCAGCCTCCCGAACAAGCCGGTTTCCGAAAGGGCTTTAGCACCATAGACCACATACATACCCTTCGGCAAATTGTACAGAAGTCCGAGGAGTACAACTTGCCACTATGTCTGGCGTATATGGACTATGAGAAAGCCTTTGATTCCGTCGAAATTTGGACGGTGCTGCAGTCCCTTCAGCGGTGCCAAGTTGACTGTCGGTATATCGAAGTGCTGAAGTGTTTGTACAGTAGAGCTACGATGGCTATCCGAGTACAGAACCAGAGTACGAAATCTATCCAATTGCAGAGAGGTGTAAGACAGGATGACGTTATATCCCCGAAACTCTTCACCGATGCATTGGAAGACGTTTTCAAGCTTCTGGACTGGAAAGGATACGGTATTAACATCAATGGCGAGTACATCACTCACCTTCGATTTGCCGACGATATAGTCCTTATGGCAGAATCGCTGGAGGAACTAAGCACCATGCTCAATGACTTCAATAGTGTCTACCAACGAATAGGTCTTAGGATGAACATGGACAAAAGAAAGATCATGTTTAATGTCCATGTCACACCTATGCTGGTAGTTGTTGGGAGCACTAAGCTCGAAGTTGTTGACGAGTATGTTTACCTGGGACAAAAAGTCCGTAGGTAAGTCCAACTTCGACCGAGAGCTCAATCGACGGATTCAACTCGGCTGGGCAGAGTTCGGGAAACTACGACACATCTTCTCGTCA